CTTAACAGAAGAATGATTTATAATCTAATTCTAGAGCAGAAAGTAAATAAGATATGCAAGTAATAATCAGAAACTATTTCTGCCAAGATTAACAGTATACACTGGGCTAAGGCAAGTTAATGGTTTATTTACAAAAATAAAATGCTAAATTCTGATATTTTCTATCTTTACTGAGGAGAAAAAAGTAGCTGTAAGTACTGCTAATTTTATCCACATGTTCTGGAAAAGGATTTCAACTAAATTTTCCTAAGCCTTTATATCAACTCAGTCTAACACGCATCCAAACTGTACACATGAAGCCCACTATAAAAAGTGGGTTGAAAATTAGAACTGAAGATAATCTTAAATTTGCATAAACAGAAGTCTTATCAAATCAAAGCTGGATCCAGAAAATCCAGAGCTTTCCAATTTGCTTAAACATCCAAAGGCTTAAATAGCAGAAAAGGAACAAATGGTATTTTACAAATATTCTGTCAACATTCAAAAGCTTGATGTTTCTAAATATTTTACACCAATTCAAACAACCTAATGAAAGTCCAACTTGTGAATATATACTTAAATATAAAATGTAAACTATCAAAACTGCACAGAAATGAGTGAAAACATTTACAAAGATGACATTCATAAAATAAGTGATACAAAGGTGACATTCATAGACTAAGCAAATTTGTGAAATGAGAGAAATATTTACGTGTATTGCAACAAAACCACTTCATGTGTGCATTAACTATAATACTAAACAGGTTTAAAAATAAGAGCAATGTTCCTCAGATAACCTTGACTATTCTGAAAGTGACAACTTAGAAACACTCTGGCTAACTTTGGAAATAACCATGATGACTGCATTTTTAAACTGAAGAAATCAGTCTCAACTCTGCAGTCTACTTCAAGAGCTCCAAGTACCACTCTCAGACATTTACATTTCATACTTACTAAACTCTGTAACTCCTCTATAACACCAAGCTCTCTTCTGTCTCCACGTCCAGAGCACATTACCCATGTGTGGCTTTGAACACACCATCTACCCCCACTAGCCTAACTCCTACTTGATCTTCAAAACTCAGCTCAGATATAGGTAGACTCGGATCTCTTCCCCACCATTCTGGGTTAGCTATTTTTTACCCAGTGTTCCCATGTGCCCTGCGTCACTCCATCAAAGTACTTGTCACGTTGCAGTGGAATTCTCTCTCTATTTGCCACTTCCCCCACTTCCGACCTCACTCTATGGTTCTTTATCCCTTGAGACTAAAACAGTTTCTAGCCTATAGCAGATGCAGAAAAGACATTTTCTAGAAAAAATAATGCAGAACTGAGGAAATTATGGAAAAGTTTAAACTGTGGATACACAACCAAAAGATACAGTCCTTGCCCATGAGGAGTTCTATGAGTAAACAAATAAATATACTACTATGCATCCCACAAAATAAAAACGGACATGAAAATCATACTTCACTTTTCCATCTCACTCCCACATACAAAACTAAAATTTTATAAATTTCCTCCTATCTGAAATACAAGCTCTCTACCCTTCTCTGACTTGACTACAATACATGTTTCTGTAATGTAAAGTAGCTCACATGTGACTGGTAAAAAAGTAGAATAATATCAGTAAAACAAAGAGGTCACATTGGTTCGTATGGGATTTCTTCCAAGCATGTTAATGTTTATGCCACGAGTAACTGCAGCTGAATACAAAGTATGCTAACAGCTAACATCAACTGTTATTTTTAGTGCATGATTTTGCAGAACATGAGGTTTTTCAGGCATATGTTGTTTCTTTTTTTTATTGGTGGGGATGATTTCCCCTGAGCTAACAGCTGTTGCCAATCTTCCTCTTTTTGCTTGAGGAAGATTGTCCCTGAACTAACATCTGTGCCAATCTCCCTCTATTTTGTATGTGGGATGCCACCACAGCATGGCTTGATGAGCATTGTGTATGTCTGCACCCAGGATCTGAACCCGTGAACCCTAGGCCGCCAAAGCAGAGTGCGCAAATTTAACCACTATGCTGTCCCAGAAATAACGTTATTTCTTGACAGTAGAAATGACTATACATTCATCTTTGATTAGCCATATTATATTTATTAATTAAATAAGCACATATTTATTAAATAAGCTATTTGAATTATTAAATAACCTACTACTATGTGTCAAGGTCAGCAATGAAGGGGAAAAGAAGGAAATTAACAATTACTGATGATGACTATTTTCTTAAGCATTGTGTTAAAGGCTCTGAATACTTTGTAATTTAAATTCAATAACTCAGAAGGTAGATAATACAAAAATAATTCACGTTGAATTTAAATGGAATGTGATCTAATTTATGGCCAGTCCGATAAGCTTAAAATATTATTTTTATCAGAGTCTTCCTCAGCTTAAGAACCTATTTATGAGCTTTCACAGACTAACCAATATCCTCATGAAAATAAAAGCATAAATTCTTAACAAAATTTTAACAAATCAAATCAGTAATATATAAAAACAATAATACACCATAAGCAGTCAAGGCCATACCAGAAATACAAGGTTGGCTTAACATTAAAAATATAATCAACAGAATTCACCATATTATCAAATAAGAAAAACCTTATCATCATCTCAGTAGATGAACAGAAAGCCTTTGACAAAATTTAAAACCCATTCATAATAAAAAGTCTCAGCAAACTAGGAATAGAAGGGACAAGAAGTTCTAAGCAGTTATTACAGCTTAAAGGAAAATACGTTCATAATAAATGCAAGATTGGAAATCTCAGAAGAGAAATAAAAACTACAAAAAAGAATCAAATTGAAACTCTAGAATTAAAAAATTCAATATCTAAAATAAATATAATTCAAGAAAGACAGCATTAAGTCTTTCCAGATTCTCAAATGTTTTACTAATAATCTGCAGAGCTTACAGTCGTATTTTAATTTAAAAAAAGTGAAACATGGAGAAATAGCAATGAAGCACAATAAAAATCCAGACTAGAGAAATTCATTATCTCTTGATTTTTGCGTGTGGTTTTCAATTCCCTAGTATTTAAAATGCGAAGGCAAGTTAATTGATTCATTTACGTAAAAAATTATTGACAGCATAGTAATAGTTAAAGCACTGATGACATAAAGTCAGAAGAAAAACAAAAACAGTCTCCGTCCTCAAGGAGCAATCTGGAGGGAAGAGCGGAGTCTCTAAGAACCCCTTCTAATGATGTAACTGTATAACTATTTATTTAATGAGATTAATTCTACTCCAATAAGGCCCAAAAGGGACTCTGTATATATACTTGGCAAAGTACAGATAACACATTTCTCAAATTTTCAACAATCCTGTTATCATATTTATAGTACAGATTTTCTTGTATGAACTTAACTCTCTATTTTCACATAATTTTTAAAAATTATACATGTCAGAATTTAAAAATTTCTAGTGAAATATAAAATTTGACAATGGGAATTTCTATATATATATATTATTATTTTTTTTTTTTGAGGAGATTAGCCCTGAGCTAACTGCTGCCAATCCTCCTCTTTTTGCTGAGGAAGACTGGCCCTGAGCTAAGATCCGTACCCATCTTCCTCCACTTTATATGTGGGATGCCTACCACAGCATGGCTTGCCAAGCAGTGCCATGTCCGTACCTGGGATCCAAACTGGTGAACCCCGGGCTGCCAAAGCAGAACATGCACACTTAACTGCTGCACTACCGGGTCGGCCCCTATATTTTTTTGTTCTAATAAATCTTTAGGGTAATTCTTATTTCTGAATCATTTAATATTTTCACATTCTTATTTAAAAAAACAAAGGATCAAAACACTGGGGAAGGGTGAAACTAAAGAAGGTTCAGTAAAACTAACTAGAAGCTATCTTTCTTTAGATCCAAAGATGTGGAGATCACAAGTTCAAGAGGCAGACACTCAAACGATTTTACAAAATGTTTTGTCATTTTAAAAGACATAAAGAACTTATGAATGGATTAAAAAATAAGGAGAGAATCCAGAAAACTATGAAATAACATGGGAGCAGACTCTGGGATCAGAAAGAAATGCATTTAAGTCTAGGGTTTATTACCTTCTAAGGACCTTAGACTAGCTAGTTAACTGTTTTATCTACAGTCACATCTGTAAACTATCACAGGGTCATCGTGTAGACTAAATAAGAAAATTAGTATTAGTCATATAAATTGATACAACTCTATAAAAAGGCACTTTGCCAACATTCCTGAAATGCATTCTTATGGACTGTAGTATGGGGGGAAAGTTAAAAGATTCTATGAGTTTGAGAAACTCTGGTTTATTTCAGGACTTCTTAGTCTTTAGTCAACGTACATGTGAATGTACACTGTTAGTTTCCAAAAGGGTAAACATAATATTTAGCAGTTCTAAAACTTATTTGACCATGGTCCTTCGTTTTCACCGAGTATCTCAAGGGACTAGTGTGTTCCACTGAAATCAAGTTTCACAAAGTGTAAATTGGGCACTACGAAGAGCTGTAAAAGCGTTCACATCCTCTTGATCCAGTCAATCAATCCTACAGCATTTTTATAAGTAAATATGAAAAAATGAAGCCAATAAGAAGACATTTTTTCAGGTTATTTATAATAGAAAAAATCAGATGAAACTTCAATGTCCAATGAATAAACAAGGATATATCAATGTCAGAAATTGGATATTACAGCTACTGTAAGTGCTAGAATGGAGACGATAGTCCCATGGAAATGTTTGTTAAAATAAAAAGACAGAAGCCAATTTTCCATATGTATTAGAATTCTAACAATATAAAAATGTATATATGGCCAAAAACTTGCAAGAATAGTAGAAAATGAAACAAGTTCTGTTCCGGACAGTGGGACTGGGGTAATCCGTTTACTTAGTTTCTTTAACTTTTATAGTACTGTGTATATGATACATAAAAAGTGTTATCTGTAAAGAAGGCTACAAAGGTAAGACTCTTTATTAAAAACTATCTTAATATGGCTCTTTTCCTATTAAGTTTCCTGGTAACCAGTAATATTTTCATTACAGGACCATTCAAAGACTGTCAGCATGCAAAAGAAGCTGGACACTCAGTAAGTGGAATTTATATGATTAAACCTGAAAACAGCAGAGGACCGATGCAGTTATGGTGTGAGCACAGTTTGGATCCTGGGGGTTGGACTGTTATTCAGAAAAGAATGGATGGCTCTGTCAACTTCTTCAGAAATTGGGAAAATTATAAGGTAAATCAGTGATTCAGACCTGGGGGAGAGATGGAACAAAGCAGCTCTTGCAATAGCAGCCATTCTAGGCAATAAATAAGATACACAGTTAAAAATAAGTATTCATATGTTTTTTTATTACCTACATTTGTCGAAAAGATGATTCTCATCTCTAGTCTTAAAGTCAAAATTAAAATGTAAAAAGGAAACTGAAGATGTACTTTAAAATGCCCCCCTTCATTCTGGATGACATACATATATTTAATTCTTTTCAAAAACCACCCCTAATTTCATTTTCGAATAATTACTTTTTTATGACTAGATTTCTACCCATCATCAAGTGTATTTAAACAATAATATAAACTATAGGATTTCAAAAAAATGGACCTTTTTCTAGGACTAGTTACCTCTGATAATCATGCCACCATGTTTTAAGTTGATGACACCAGACACTGGTGCTTTTGGGAAGTATTGTACACCTAGATTGTCAGATACAAGAGGAATCATGCAATACCAGTTTTGGAAAGGTAAACAACTAGTCTTTGTTAATACTTTTAATGTTCATCATGCTAATTTTATAAGTGATATAAACCCTCAGTTTAAGGATGGCATATGGGAAAGATTATATCTTCTAGATGGCTAATTCTTCATTCAGAATTGTGAAGTACTGTGATTACTCACTCAGCTGAAATTTTACTGGCAGCAAAAAATAAGACATTAATATATCCAAGTCAGAACTTGCATACATTTCTAAACAAGTAACTAGGAAAAAAAATCCTGCAACATAACCTCCTAGAAAATACATTTAGTGTTAAGATCAGGTTTACCAAGTCTTAAACTCTGCTGGATACCTACAATGGCAAATGCTTATTGAAATAGGATAGTTAATTGACTTATTTTTTTTCAAATATTAATCTACAATTTTTCAAAGGGGGAATTTTGAAGATTACTATTTTATAGTTATTAATTTTACATACAATAAAGCTAAAGAAGATAATTTGTTCTAAAATAGTATCATTTTTATTGAATGATCATAGTAATCTTGCACATCCTTTTTGTTTGACTGTGGTGGGGAGAAAAAGTATCTAAATACTTTCAGAAAAAAAATTTGGCTCTTTGCATGAGTACGAGAGAGACCAGGAACCCCTTTCAACAATGTGGGTAGCTCATTAATTAATGATTTTAGTAGCTGTCAATAATTTTCATTCTCTTTAGCCTCTGTCTTATTTGTAGGGTTTGAAGCTAGCTGTGTGAATAAATATTGACAAATTAACAGAAAGCAAAGCAAAACAAAACAAAGTGACTATGTGGGGCTTATAAAGATGAGGTGATCTACTGAGATGGAAGTTCACATCGCCACTTAAATGACCAACGTCTTTATGCTACCAAATGTTTAAACTTACCTACAAAAAAGTTTACTATCTCTACGCTTACTTAGGTACCCATGCTCTTTGTTTATTAACAGAAAGGGTTTGGAAACATTGATGGAGAATACTGGCTTGGACTGGAAAATATCTATACGCTTAGCAATCAAGATAATTATAAATTGTTGATTGAATTAGAAGACTGGAGTGATAAAAAAGTCTACGCAGAATATAGCAGCTTTCGTCTGGAGCCTGAGAGCGAATTCTATAGACTGCGCCTGGGAACTTACCAGGGAAATGCAGGGGACTCTATGATGTGGCACAATGGCAAACAGTTCACCACACTAGACAGAGATAAAGATATGTATGCAGGTAAGAAGAAACTAATGTGTATTCTTTGTAGAATCACCACTTTTCTATACATTAAATAGAACCTTGTTATTAAAGTATATGCTTCTAAAAATCTTTCTAGAAAGGTAATTTTGGACTCAGTCAAAAGGAATATAACATGCAGAAAGGAATAGCTTTTAGGATCTAAGGCATTCCCAAAGTATGAACTCTGGACAAGATTCTGTTGTTCTAACAGAACAACTCGGGGACAACTGGGGTGGGGGTGGGGAAACAAACAAAAATTCATTGAACTGCAAATAAAACTCTCAACTGCCTAAAATTCCCAACAAATACTAACTGGACACCCTCCATGCACCAGGCACCGTTGTAGGTGCTGAGTACATAGCAGTGACCAAAGTTCCTGCCCTTTCGGAGCTTACACTCTCTAGGAGACAAAATGATTTGTCAGGCGGTGACAAGTTCTCTAAGAAAATAAAACTGAGTAAGGGAACAGAAAGAGATGGGCAGCGAGGAGTGGACTGGGTGCTATTTTATATGGAATGGCCAAGAAAGGTTACTGTTAGAAGGAAACATTCTAATAAAGACCTGAAGGGAGTGAAGGAAGCAAGCCATTTGAGAGTATGGGGTAAAGGCATTTCTCAGTAAAGGGAACAGCAAGACGACTGTGCAACATGTGATACAGGAGAGCAAAAAGCTTTATTCAGAGGGGAAATTAATGTTCTCCTTAGAAAGAATCAATGAGGCCATCCACTTAATATAATTTTAAATTTAATTTTCACATACTTTTGCCTTTTTAACCTAGGTTTCTGGCCCAGATAAAGAGAGATCCCTGATAACTGATTTATTTTCTGTTCAGTCATATCTTGGCAAGCAGCACATAGGTCTCTATTTTAACTTATTTTACACTGGCAAAAGAAGAAAAAAGGAAGAGAGATATAACCATAAGATAGGCCATATTTACAGAAACACATCTGATTGCTGGTAGTGCTATTTTTATACATATATTTTTTTCCTAAAGATTGGCACCTGAACTAACATCCGTTGCCAATCTTTCTTTTTTTTCCCTTCTTCTCCTCAAAGCCCCCAGTACATAGCTGTACATTCTAGTTGCAGGTCCCTCTGGTTGTGCTAGGTGGGACGCCGCCTCAGCATGGCCTGATGATCGGCGCCATGTTGGCACCCAGGATCTGAACTGGGGAAACCCTGGGCCGCTGCAGCAGAGCGTGTGAACTTAACCTCCTGGCCACAGGGCCAGCCCCTATATTACTTGTTGATATTTTGAGAATCCAATTTTCCCCAAACTTTTCTCTCCTTAGCAACTCCATATTTTCCCTTCCCAGTCTCTCCAAATCTCTCCTTCTCTCTCACATACAAACATTGCCTGCATTTTATTTCTCTGCTACCTAGAAAATTAAATCTCTTTAAAAAAATGTGCTAAGCAAGCAAAGGGCAAGATAAAAAAGCAAATCAAGTGATTTTTCAAGTAACTGATACTTAAGCAACAGTAAGACAATAAATGAAGAAATAAAACTACGAAGACAAAGGTAACCGAAATTAGTAAGAAAAACTCGAATTAAAGTGTTCCAAAAGTAAAATAAATTTTTGATAGTTTTCAGAGTAGCACATTTTGAAGAAACTTTTCCTTTGATGTCTCTGTTTTTCCTCAAAGGAAACTGCGCGCACTTCCATAAAGGAGGATGGTGGTACAACGCCTGCGCACACTCTAACCTGAATGGAGTGTGGCACAGAGGAGGCCAGTACAGAAGCAAGTACCAAGATGGAGTATTCTGGGCCGAATATCGAGGCGGGTCATACTCCTTGAGAGCAGTTCAGATGATGATCAAGCCTATTGACTGAAGAGAGACAGTCTCCAACTTAAATGACATAGAACTTTATATTTTTCAGTTCCTAAAAATGTAAATTTCACATGTATATTACTTCGCACAATTTATTTCTACAAATATAGTTTTTAAATGAATCTTACCATAACTATAAAAGGGGATTTATGAATGTAGTTTCATCTTCTCTTAATATACTTCAAAAGATTATTTGTATCCATAATGCTAGTTATTTTAAAAATTATATTGACTACATACAGGCAGTGTGTTTTCAAAAATGTAAATATTTGCCTAAATGTAAAACAAATCTTAGCTTTATTTTAAATCAAAACTGAATACCTGTTCAAGATCCTTAACAATTTATTTAAAAACTTTATGAGATTCCTCTAACTTCCAAGGGAAAAATAATTTTAAGATTTCAGCCAAGTAATACATTTTATTTATAAAAATATAGACAGGAAATTAGAGAAAACTCTAGTTTTGCCAATAGAAAATACTTTCTGCATTGAATAAAAGTTATTTCAATTGAATTTGTGCCTTTCACATGAAATGATTAAATCTGAATTATTGACAATATATTTTATGCCAATTTCCCCAAAGAATTAAGTGATCCACAGTATTAAAATAAATACATATTTAAAAAAATAATGTAGGCAATATTTAAATGCTCAATTTGTAGAAAGAGAAATATACAAATGAATTTTTCAATATTATCTTCACACGATTTGCTGGCACCAAAATCTCCTGAAATGCATTATGTTGTTATATCAGCAAAATATTGATATTACAAAACGCAGAATATTTAAGTGAGCCAATGGTTTTACAGATCTGAATTATAACTTTAAACTTATTAATACCCCTCACACCCACCAGCCAATTTGCTGATCCTTACTATTTGGAAAAAACCTCTCTGCTCTTCAAGTCAGAAAGCTTGGACAGCTTTATAAGCATTATTGCATACTTATGAGTGAGACTAAAACAACTTCAAGGAACTGTTAGACATTTTCCCAATACTGAGATTCAACAGCCTCAGAACAGAATCCATAGGGGTTTGGCTATTCCAAATTGCTAATTCCATTTTATAGTGTGTGTGACTTTATAACTCATCTTTGCAACTAACAAGTTTATTACCAACCTTCCGGAACAATTTCCTTCCGGAAACATGTTCATTGCTTACAGCTGATCTTCCCTTAATTCATTTGTGAACTAAAATTTTAGAGGAATCTCATGAGACTTTTGCTCAAGCAAAAAGAAAATCCAGTCAGAACTGAAGATAATCATTTGAACAACTCAAGTCCACCAACATGACCAATGGTTTTCCTCTGTCACATCTCAAAATAAAACTTTTGGTCGAAGAAGGTAAGAGAACATCAAAACCCTACAGTGGCATTATTCTTTGTTTTACCTATCATCATCTTAAAATGGTTTTGAAGTCCTTCCCCACCAGCCCAGAACCAAAAGAATCTGCTATAAGATTTCTGAGAAGAATTAGGCATCTAGTTGTTATGTCATATCTTAATTGAACAGAACTTTACCAGGGCATTCCATTTATTGACAGAACTATAGTATTTCACTTAAACATCCAAAACCCTACAAAAGACAAGTCTTAAATAGAATCTTCACAGAAAAGGAATGTTATTCAAACTAGAATGATGTGAAAGTCAACATACAAACTAGAAAACTGGTCAGAATGCTAGGCCGCCTTGGCCACTGGGTCCACTTTGGTTTCCTTTACAGATCCGACTAACTGTTTTGGAGTTCCTGGAGGGCTTAAGAACAATTTAGGCAAGTGAGTTCCTTGAGAGCAGGGACTAAGAAGCAGTATTATATGATGGTTAAATGTAGTAAAGTCAGAACTGCTTGGGTTTGTGGCCCAATTCTACCATTTACTAGCTGTGTTTCCTTGGGCAATTTACATATTCCTGCTTAAGTTTTCTTATTTATAAAATGGAGATAATAACAGTACCCAGGTCATGTAGTTATTGTGAAAATTAAGTGAGGTAATACATGTGGTAAAACATTTAGAATAATGCTTGACAAAGTAAAGGCCCCAGGAGACTTTAGTTATCAGATTATTACTAATCTATGTACTTTCTGCAATACCTATCATGATGCCCTACACAGAGTACATGGTGAATAAATGTGTTAAAAGAAACAATATCCAAATTTTCAGGCATAAAATTACCTTGATTCATAATCTTCATCTGCAAACCTAACAGAGCTATTATGGCAGGTAGTTAAGACACTGGACCATAAAAAAATTTTTAAAAAAATTAAGGCAAGAATACCCATAGCAGGAATTCCAGCCTAATAAGGATCTTGTGGGAGGTTAGACAGATCATCTGTGTGGCAGATGAGATCCAATAGATAGCTACTCTGTAGGTTACCCAGGAATAAACATGTGGTTGGTTGCCTTACTTCAGTAAGATTGAGCTATAACCTTGGAGCTGGTTTGCAGAAGGATTCTTTATGTTCAGTTATTTTTAATAAATGAAATGAAGCTTATCGTAAATATGATTTAGACTCTATTCTGTACTCAATGGGAAGTCATCAATGCCTAGGAAACTTAGTATCTCTAAAGTAAACTTTAAAAAGTTGAAATTTTAGAGAAAGACAATTTTAGCCACCACCTTAAAATTTAGTAGATATCCACAAATAAACTTATGCTTAGACTCCAAGCCTGGTAGAGTATAAAGGTCAAATTTTCAGTCTAATGCTAACTTGACTTTATGAGTCATGATACGAGAGTATTAATTCTTCTAGCACTATATTTTTAAGACTCCTACTGATAATAACATAATAAGCTATAAAAACTTCCACAATCATAAAAATGTTTTAAATTACTTGCAAACCTATACTAATGTCATATGATTTTTATATACTTAATCTTAATAGTAGGTTAAAGATTATTACACCCTAACAAATTTTTAGTCTTTTAGTGTCTGTTGAAACTAAAAGTACTAACTTTCTTACCAAGTAAGAAAATTATTCCATTTATAATGCCGTGACCCCTTTCTCCAAAAAGCCATCGAAAAATAAGCTCAGTTTCCAATATTTTCAGTGGGGTTAATATATTGTTATTAAGTTGTAATTCTATACATAATTACAGGAAAGACTGAAGAAGACACTCAAAATTTTAACCTAAATACAGCTTCAAAAAATATTAATATAATTTCATAATGCTTTCTTTGAACTATAAATGAAACAGTTATAATGCATATCTTTATATGCAAGTCAATTTAATCTCACTTGTCTCAGTTTCTTTACTTGTAAAATATGAATAATAATATCACTTACCTTATAATATTGTTAAGAATTAGATAATTTATGTAAAGTACACAGTGCTGGGCATACAGGATTAAGTATTAAATAAATGTTAGTTATTAAGATTCTTTTTATTATTCTCTTGTTAAGGTTTGCTCAAAAAAATTACAAAACAAATTACTGAAATATCAGCAGTTGGAAACACCACTGGCAAAGCTGTTGGAACTGAGGGAATCTGATTCTGTTTACGATTAAAATGCAGACCTGTATAGCTGCTCCACATTTTTTCCTTTTTTAAGATATAGATTCTTAAAGAAAAACTATGAACATGGGAAAGAAATTAATGCAATGCTATCCCCAGCAATTTTATATCACAAGTCTTCAAGTGATCTAAAGTAAACTTCAGAAAAGATACCATTAAAGAATGTTAGAAGAATTTTAAATACATAAAAATGAAAGAGAGTAAAAAAGGATATAAATGAGCTAATGGAAAATGGAGATGTAATTTTGGCTAAAGAAAAAGCTAGGGCTAGCTGCCATCTGGTCAAAGCTCATTCTCAGGATTCAAAAGAAAAATGACTGAACATGCTTTATGGCTATTTTAGAATACAATACATAATCTAATGAGAAGAATAAGGGAAAGTAATTCATGGTGTATATTATCTACAAATCAAACCAAAGGAAGAAAAATGGAATAAAACTCTTAAAATATTAAAAGCCAATGACATTTTTTAACCATTAAGAATTTTTGAGATCAATGTCAGAAACTTGCATATGTTTAACCAAGTAAAATTCTACCAAAGGGGAAGGAAAAAAAATCTCATTAATTTCCATAGAGCTGCAGAAAGCTTTAGACTTTGTTGCAATTATCTGAATAGAAATGTGAATAAAAAGCCATTATTTAAAAAAATATTTGTACATAGGTCAGTAGAAATTTCTAAAACGAACGTAAAACTAAAGAACTATATTCCATTGTGAGATCAAGACAGGTAAAAACTACAGAAAAATAAAAGAGGATCAGATAAAATCTGAAGAGAAGTTTCAGCATACCTTAAGCATTTCATTAGCTGTGATGAGGACACCACTAACAAAGCCTGGCAATGATACGTACCTCTTCCATGATATAGGAGACAGGGGAAATTATTCATAAGGCAATGACACCAACCTGAATTTTTGGTATTAAAGAGATGTTAACTGGAATAAAGCCAGGGACAAAGTCTGTTTCGATCCCTGTTACATATCTAGCATCAACCATACTGCTAAGCAAATACTGGTTAGCCAGCTGATGCACCAAAGAAAAGTGGGGGAGGGTAGGGAGTTGATGTATACAAAAATGCCACAAAAATCTATTGTATTAAAAACAGATAAAATTACTGAAACAATAGGAAGACCCAGAAAGGGATCATTTAATTAATTAATTCAACCAACAAATACTACTAAGTGCCTACCTTTGTTCTAATGCTAAGGATAAAGCCTTGGACCAAGACAAATAAAGGTTTACACACTACTGAGGGGGAGAAGGATTAATGAAAACATCATAATGAAAACAAAATGGTACTTTTCAGAGAATGGAGGACGTAGCGGGCACTACATTACAGAAGGTCATAAGGATAACTTTTCTCAAAAAAGAAAATGTCTATTATGAAAACCTAACACATTAAATCAAAAATTAATTGGAGGGGCCTCTCTCAAGAGTGAGGAGTCACACCTAGACACATCAAAACAACATAGTCATGTCCTACAGAAGGGCAGGAGAGTTTTCAAAAACTTCTCTACTTTTGCTTAACAGAAAGCAATACACAGAACTGTAACAATTTAATTATTTCCATAGTTTTAAAAATATGCTCTCTCCCAGAAAACATTCTAAACTGGTTGAGCTACTGTATCTTCCCAAAGTTATATGAATAAAATAGAAATGAGGCTAGAAAATGCACATGAAATACTTATGTTTTATACAAATACATTAGTTTGCACAATGTTCCATTTTTCTCTCTCTCTCTTGCAAAGCAAAACTTCCCATGCCAAATTCTTCAATAAGCTTCTTAAGATTGCTCTCCAATGACAAGAACAAATGAGTGCTGTTAATGATTTTCAGATTTAAAGCAATAATTCTCATATTAAACAATTTTTTCCTTAAGATTTGCCAAACTATTCCTCTCCAGAAAAACTGTATTCTTATTCTAAGAATTTTTCACTGCATTGTCCAGGCTGACTAATTTTTACCTTGAATGCAAACCAACAGAAGAGACAACTTTTCAAGGGATAATGAGTTGAAGGCCAAGAAAATATTTTCTCCTTCTTATAATTTAATCCACACTGAATTATAGATAAATCTGGCAGTATCAAAATAAGAGTTTTATCAGCACATAAACCCCCATCCTTCTTTTTTAAGCTTCATAAAGAATGGTTGGTTTGATGATACGTTTTAGGGGCAAAAACACCATGAATCTGGATCACATTTCTCACGTTAACAAACATGATTAGCCTTTACCTTTTCTCTATGCACTACAGATTCTTTTGCTTGATATATTCTTTCCATAAGAACCCTTGCTGACATAATGAATAAAGGGTAGCATTATGCAAATTCTGTATAGTTGAGAGGGATAGTTAAATAGAAGCTACAATTTGCATAATGAGTATCATCTTTCAAATGTCTTCAGGCCAAGTTCTGTCCTATGAACGTACAGCATCTCATAAATGTTGACACTGCTGTCAACTGCACTAGGGCCTAGCTTCCTAGGATGGGAAAGGAATCTGAAATCAAAACAAGTTAAATTTAAAAGCCATGATCCTAATTCATTTTAAATTAGAGCAAAATATGAAAAAAGTAAATATTAACAGGGTATAAACTATTGTTAAATCTTCACTCTTCAAAACACTTCACTACTGAAGATCAGGAATGAAAAAATGAACCAGCTGTCTATGATGTAAATAAATCAAGTAAGTAAAAAGTTGTATAAGTTGAAAATCCTTCACAGTTTCTTAGGAAAAGCATGCATGTTTTGATAGATGGAAGACATTTAATCTCAAGGTTTGCTATAAAACAAAACAAAACTGTCACTACATTAAAGGGATGATTTTCATGCTGAAAACGAACTAAACTGAGCCACAATAACTTATCTGACAAATGTTTCATTTTCCTTCCCAAGTTTACCAAATGTTTATGCCAAATGTTCCACAATCAGCTCACAACCTCAGATGATTCTTCACAAACTAGTATAAGGAAAAATAACTATATTAAGACTTCCAATATGTAAAATCATGTAGATATCAAAGTGTATGTTCTCTAGTTTAACTGAAGTACTTTGCCATTTTTCCTGCTTTGGTTTCTAATTCTTGGACAACCCTCAGAAACATGCATCTCATTTCACTAGAGAATACAAGAAGTAGAGAAGGAAGCGGAAGAGAAATCCAACAAAACCCCAGGTTTCTAGTGTGGTGGAGCAGTGTAGATAAAATGCTACAGTGAGATCACTGGTAGACTCAGGAGATAAGATGGGGACCAGTTTTGTAGGAAGGGGAAAAGAGGATGAATTTACTTCGGGACATGCTGAATTAGGGTAACCTATAGATGTCTCATTCAATCAGTATATGAGTACCTAAAACGTTACTAGGCCCCAGGAATTACACAAACTGATGGATATACAAGTCTAGTCTAGATTTGGGAGTCATCAGGCAATATATGGAAAAAATCTGAATGAGACTACTCCAAATGAGTGTATAGAGTAAGAAAAGTAGTGGACTGAGAACTTTAGAAGAATAGGTTTGAGAGAAAGGCAGAGAAAGAGGAGTGAATAAAACAAAAACGAGAAAGTAAACAGTAAACCAAGAGAGACATGTGCAACTAGTGGAGAATTTTCAAGAAGTAGAAATAACTAGAATCAACCTCACAAAATTAAGAGGAGGCTTGAGAAACACCTATTAGATCTTTCAACTAGAAGTCAGTGGTGACCTTACTGGGAAAATTTCCATGAGTGAAGAGGGAGCTAACAGCATGCTGAGCAAAAGAAAACACGAAGAAAAAGGAGAAAGGAGGAATAGGCTACTTTTTACTAGCTATATAAAGGAGAATTACACGGTAACAGTGAGAAGGAAGATTCCAAGTCATGAGGACATATAAAACGAAAGGGAACGGAAAAGAGGAGTCAATGGAAGACCAAAATGAAGATACAGGAAAGACAATGGTTCTAATATTTTCTCCAAATTAACTTCTGTACCTCAGCATCTGCCTCCCTTACTTTAACCCACAGGAATAATTACTATGTTTGTTTCAGGTATCAGGGCTGACAGAAAACAGGTATATTCTCTAGTAGAAAATCTTTCCAGATTCCACTAAACTCCAACTATGCTCGTGGTTTCCTTCCCTTCTATGTGCATGAGAGTGTACACATGTGCACACACACAGACAACTTCAAATCCTCTACTGAAGTCTCCACTGAGGGAACCATAAAACAAAGGCTCCTGAACTAGACGTCACAGCACAAGGATTTATATTATTTTGTCATTTTCCCATTTTCAAAAGAAAATAATCTTAATTTCTTTGTCAAAGAAATACAAATTATGGAATTTGAGGAAAACATTTCAATGAGAAAAAAATATAACCATAGAATCAGTAAATTTTAGAATGAGAGTTTAGCAGGTGTAACTGGAAAGATGCTACATGAAGACTTCAGACTGCAGACGTGTCAGTAACCCGGTCTTAGGGCTGTGAGCCAGCTCTTCTACCTTTAAGGGACCTTGGTTTTCTCATTGTAAAATAAGTGAAGTAGAAGAGATCACTGTGGTCCCATCCAGCCTCAGGAAGAACACGGCGGTGGTCTTGTGTGTGCTGTTTCTAGGTAAGGAGAACAAGGCTCAAAGAAGATAATTCAATGACTTGAAAAGTTAGCATGGTAGAGCCATTTTGGAATTCAGGGTTGCCAATTCTCAGTGTGATGTTCTTTATGCTATCAAAAGTACATGTTCTTATGGAGTATGAAGATATTGATGATTGTCTTTCAAATCAGCTATTCATCCTCTCCCCCAAATTATATTTTCAAGAATGGGCACAGTTAAGACTACAGCAAAAAGTGGAGCACACGCAGAATGTCTCCTCTAACATCCAGCTTAGAGCCTCTCTGATGGAGTCACGTTCACTATGGCCCCAAAATGTTGATCAAAGAAACAGGACACAATATTCTGGTATGTAATGGCCATTATCTACACTGTGCTTAGGGATATTCTGCCTTCAACACAGGGTGCATAACATTCCCTGTTCCCAATGGAATCCTAGGATCTCCCAAAATGTTCTAATGAGTTCAACTCTTCTCTGACAAACTAAGGCTGATGTTCTATATCAGCCGAATGAGAGTCTAGCAACTGCCTCGGTCCCTATTTGTCTTCTAGTCACTGGAACTGTAAAGAGTGCAGCATCTCCTAAATAAATGACAGGTTTTTGAATTACTTTTAAAAATAGCTATTGTGAAATCCAGTATGAGTAACTACATAAAAGACAGAATAGAGATAAGGGAGAAATAAGGATACTAGAAAGAAACAAATGTTTATCATTTGATTATTCTCTACATAGGATCAAACCAATTTATCTTAATATATGCTAGGTATATATCATACAGAGTATTTTCTGTATTTAAATTTACATACATATTTTAAAAGGGACAGTTTGAGATTTCTTCTCATTCAAACACCTAAGGCATTATTCATATTTTGTTGAAAATAATCTCATAATGTTATTGGTTAAATATTTTTAGAATTTGTAAACACTGTAAAATATACAGTAAAGAGATAAATTCTCAGTCAAATGATACATAAAACACAGGTTTGTTTGTCTCAGTACTAACCTAAATTTCCACAGCTAAACAACTCATTTCTTCCAAGCAAACAGTAACACCAACATTCACTGAGACTGCTTTTCATAATTCACCCTAAAATATCTGCCAACTATACAAAATAAGAACTCATGATGTTGAAAACAAATTCAATCAATCTTTTGATCAATTTCTTTAATGTTAAATATTTTTGCAGCATTAAACTTGATTGCAAACTACTGTTTCATTTTTTAAAACCACTGCTTCCTTACCATAATAACTAAAACATTGTTTTACCATATGGTCCAATCTCAAAGAAAAAATGATAGTCTATAAAAAACCTTGAGGGCAAAAGGCTAATTTAATAGGAAAATACATGCCAGGTAATAAGGTAACATGTCCCTTTAGTCAATTTTTTCAACTTAACAATCTTGCAGTAATTTCTTTAAAGGATACATACACTTTTAAAATATCTTGAATTTTATACAAATTACTGATTAAGGCACAGCAACAACTAGGCATAATAAACACATAGTGACATAACTCACCTAAATAGGGAATGCAAGGTGTCATCTTTAAGCTACTTATATAGTCTCTGAGTCTTTTGTAGTTATCTTCTTTACTCATTACATATTCTAATTTTTCAAAGGTAGTTTTGTCTTTTCGACTTAATAACTAAAATACAAACAGAAAAGCCTAAGTTATTTCCAAATCCCATTTTATTATAGCAAAGACTTGAAGTTGTATTTACTGTAAATTTGAATATTAATTTCAAAGTTACACCTTCTTTAATTATATTTTGATAGTATATAAATAAAACAAAATCAGACGTCTATTAAGATAATAAATCCAAACACATTATCTATAAAATATAATATCCTTTGTAGGTACATAAAATTATTAACTTACTAAGTAGTAAATTATAATAAATTATTTCTCATCTTTACTGTTTTAACTAGTTAAGCAATTTTGGTTGATCATTTTCTGAATTTAAAATAATTCTGTGTTCCTATTCAGCTCAAATGCCCAAATGTTTTAATAAACCGTCCCCTGCCTCGTCAAAGATAAAGATCATTCTTACATAACCATTAAGAAGTAAATATTGAATTTTATGATTTAAGTAACAATTTTTCTTGAGAAATCTAACCATGACTAGTCCTAACAATAAGCATAGAACTGTGATTTACATTTTTGGATTTTTGACAAGATTTTTTTTCTTTGATCCCTTGGATCAGTGCTTACGGCATATGGTTGAACAATCAACTGAAGCTGTTCTAAGAGGCTTGAGGGGTAGATTTGTAGTGAGTGCCCTTTGGAAAAAATGGAGAGAACCAAGGGGAATGAAAGAAAAACAAGGTCAGTCACCCAAATAACATTAACTAAAAAGGTTCAGAAAATACTTTTTCAAGTATTCCAAAGACTCTGGGGAAGAAAAAAAAAATTTTTTAAACATATGAAGTTAGGGCCAGCCTAGTGGTGTGATGGTTAAGTTCACATTCTCTGCTGCAGCAGCCCAGGGTTTGCAAGTTTGGATCCCAGGCACGACCTACCCACTGCTCATCAAGCCATGCTGTGGTGGTGTCCCACATACAAAATGGAGGAAGACTGGCACAGATGTTAGTTCAGTGACAATCCTCCTCAAGCAAAAAGAGGAAGACTGGCAACAGGCATTAGCTCAAGGCCAATCTTCCTCACCAAAAAAAAGAAGCTACTATTTCATTACAATGCAATAAAATTTCACTTTATTTACTTATATCATAAAATATTAGTGTCATATCATGCAAAACACCTCCAACTATAAAATTCTCATCTAATTCTCCTGTAAGGTTAATAGAGAAGTCTGAGGATTAATTTAGAGATCAGGAGAGTGAGATTCAAAGGTGATCAACAGTTAGCAAGAAGCAGAACATCCTAAATACTCAGTCATCCACTCACAAAGACGTAGGTCCCTGTTTTTCAAGGTCTTAGTCTCGTCCTGGAGATGAAGAATACTGTGATGCCTAATCCACTACTCTTTCTAGAATCACAAGTAGTACCATTGAGATTAAAGGTGGAATTCATTTTTCATAGGCTCCAAGATGCAGATTATCTTCAGATAATCTCTGTTGGAAAAATGTCTGACCAGTATCCCTCCTTCTTTAAAGCACAAGATTTCAAGGAGTCCTTTGCTTTAATGTTTCAGGTAGATATTCCATGGTCTAAAACAGTGGTTTTACAGCCTTTCCCCTGGCCCAGCTTCAACACCCCTGGTTAGCATTTTCAAGATTAGGTGCAAATCTCTGCTGCTCCCTATAAGGCCAACCATCCCTTTCTCCCCCACATAACAAAGTATTTGCATGTGTAAAACACAGCGATGTGACACAGCAGCAATAACAATAATCCTGTTCTTTTTTTCCTAAGTCAATCATTCAAAAACTTTGGTACAGGATCAGGAGAAACAAATTAGCTGGAACTCAAAGTGATTTTGCCACATCTGAAAACAAACTGCACTAAGAACTACACGGTCTAACGTGCATAAAAATAACTTATATCTTGGAATTTTCATAATAAATCCATAACCAGATTCAAAGGATTCAGTCTGAGGTGGGGCAGCAGAGACTTGTTTTCAGAAGACTGCTCAGAGGAAGAATATGGATAAAGGAATTAATTAGATGTTAAAATACAAATTTCCTAATAATAGCTCAGAAACTCATCCGAGCCCAATGCTAACACTATAACCAATAAGTCCTGATTTTCTTTTCCGCCTTTTCAACTCTTTTTCTGATGTTCCTAATATTATCCCTACAATGTCACTTCACTATATCTCTCCATCCAAAAAAGGGGAAAACAAAGTACTTCATAAGGTTCTAACTCCATATGTTTTGGGCGCCACCCTCTTCCTCTGGCCAAGAGCATGACAAATAGGGGCAGAGCTCTCCAGGCTTTCAGTGGTGCCTGAATGCGGGAACACCAAGTGTTCCTGGCTGGATCTCTATGCCACCTTAACATAACAATCTGCTTTGGGAAAATTTGGATGAACCCCTGCTCACGTCAGTCACTAAAAGAAATACAAGATGCCCAGATCATCCCTCATCACCTTGATTTGTATCCCTATACAATATGTAAAAATGTGTGCACTTGCATATATAATTTATGTATTTATCTTGGACCTCACATGAAAAATATAATCCTTTGTTCATGACACTCAATTATCATTAGTCCCTGATGTGACTTTCTTGTTAAACTGATTTATTTTTAAATTTTATAACAAATACACATGTATCCATCTTCCTACCTAAGAACTACATACCAACAACACACATCTACCTATGTGCTCCCTCAATATCTAATTCCCCTGACTATCTTCAAGAGGTAACCAGGAACCACTACCCTAAATTTGGAGTTTATCATTCTCTTAAATTTTATTTGACTTTTGACTAAAGAATGTCATACTGTTTATAGTCTCTGGCACTTGCTTTATTCACTCAACATTTTGACACTGAAGCTTCATCCACAATGTTGTGTGTGGCTGCAGTTCGCTCATTTTCACTGCTTCCATGTGTATTTTCTCTTCTATGAGTACCACCACGATGCCCACTTTTCTATTTTTCTTATTTTTTCTTTTTGCTTTGTAAGAGCTCTTTATATATCCTGGATACAAATTCATGATCAGTTCCCCACAAATTCACACATCTTCCCCGACTCTAGGGATTCTTTTCAATTTTCTTTAAGATATCTTTCAATGAACAGAAATTCTTACTTTATGTGGCAACCTGTCCATCTTTTCTTTGATTGTGTGAGCTTTTCATATCTCATCTAAAATGTGCTTACCAAGCCCAAGCAGGAAATCCACTTATGCCAAGCCAGAGAGATATTCAGCTATTTTTTTCTTCTAAAAGCTTTAAAGTTTTGCATTTCACTTTTAAGTCCTTAACTCATCCGGCAATGACTTTTGTGAATGGTGCAAGAGGCCCAATTTCATTTTTTCCCCAAACTGATAAACAATTTTCCAGCTCCAACTAACAGAAAGTCCCTCATTTCTCTAGATTTACGATGCCACTACTGCAATACATCAGAGTTCTATAAAAGCAAGGATCTATTTTTGGGTTCTTTATTCTATTTCATTGGTTGATATCTCTAAACCTGCACTAATTGAACATTTGCCTAAATAATACAGTATGTCTTGACGTCTGTTAGGGCAAGTATTCAAGCTCCCAACCCCATTTTCCTCTTCAGGAATGCCTTGGTGATTCCTGAACCTTTGTATTTCCACGTAAATTTTATAAGCAATCTTGTCCAGATCCTCAGATTGGGACTCTGATTCAAGCTGCACATAAACTCTATATACTCTGGGGAGAACTGGCATCTTTAAGTTTTTCTATCTATGACCAAAGGATGACTGCTCCATCTACTTAGTTCTTTAATGACCTCCTGTAAAGCTTTAAAATCTTTAACATATAGTTTTGCACATTTTATTGCACTTGTTTGCTATTTTGTATCTTTTATGGATATTGTGAATAGCATCCTTTTCAGGATATTTTCAACTTGTTTCAAATACAACTGATTTTGTATGTTCAGTCACCTTAATAAAGCCTATTTTTTTTTTTTTTTTTGAGGAAGATTAGCCCTGAGCTAACTACTGCCAATCCTCCTCTTTTTGCTGAGGAAGACTGGCCCTGAGCTCACATCCATGCGCATCTTCCTCTACTCTATACGTGGGACGCCTACCACAGCATGGCTTGATGAGCAGTGCCATGTCCGCACCCGGGATCTGAAACGGCAAAGCCCGAGCCGCTGAGAAGCGGAATGTGCACACGTAACGGCTGCGCCACCGGACCGGCCCCAAACCCTATTGTTTTTTTAAACTGTGGTAAATACATAATATTTACCATTTTAATCATTAAGTCTATGGCTTAAAGGCATTAAGTACATTCACACTATTGGCCAACCATCACCACGTTCCTTGGCCAGAACTCTTTCCATCTTCACAAACTGAAACTCCATACCCATTAAACAACAACAACTCCTTCCTCCTTCCTTCCAGCCCCTGGCAACTACCTTCAACTCTCTGTCTCGACAAATTCGACTACTCTCAGTACCTCATATAAATGAAATCATATGGTATTTTTGTCATTTTGTGTCTGGCTTATTTCACTCAGCATAATGTCTTCAAGATTCATCCACAGTGTAGCATGTGTCAGAATTTCACTTCTTTAAAGGCTGAATAATACTCCATTGTATGTGCATATCACATCTTGTACATCCATTCATCTGTTGATGGACCTTGCGTTATATACATTTTTTGGCTATTGTGAATCATGCTGCCAGGAATATTGGTGTAAAAATATCTGTCTGAGTCCCTACTTTCAATCCTTTGGGGTGTATATATCCAGAAGTAAAATTGCTGGATCAAACGGTAATTCTACATTTACTTTCTTGAGGATAAATCTAACTATTTTTAATCATTTTTCTTTTGACTGTGCTGGCTAGGATTTCTACGTTGAATAGAAACAGTGAAAATGTGCATCCTTTTCTTTGACATTAAAGAGAATATTCCTAATATTCTCCCCATTTAGGATGTTGTAGATTGTTTGGGTACATTCTCTTTATAAAAAAACAAAACACTCTCAATTCCTCATTCATTAAAAATCTTTAACCCAAACGCGCACGAAACCCAGACAATCTTTATTATCTTCTAACTTGACCTAACACCCTACAGTTCCCAATCCTTCCCAACTGTACTCTCTGGGACTCACACTCCATCCTCTGCAAAAGCCCCGTCCTTCACCTTTTCTTTAAGCATTCTCTTTCTTTTCTTACAAACCACATAACATGAACCTGGAGTTGACTTAGGTTCAATCTTTGCTTCTTGCACTTTACAACTCCTTCCAGCTTATTATCTCACTATCCTCTCTAAAATTCTCCAGCTTCTGTTAAGCACTAGATCAGTGCTGTCCAATCAAATTTTGTGTGATGATGGAAAATGTTCTATGTATGTGCTATCCAATACAACAGACACTAGCCACATGTGACTACTGAGTGCTTGTTATGTGGCTAGTATGACTGAAGTACTGAACTTTACATTCTATTTAATTTTAATGATTTAAATTTAACAGCCACATGTGGCTAGTGGCTACCATACTGGACAAGAGCACACTAGATTATAACAGTTATGTTACTGTCATTACTAGAGCAACAAGTCATTTTTGCCACTATATCTTAAAGGTTTTAGTATTTCGAGAAAAATAGTGCATGAACCAACATTACTGATATATCCTGGTGATTGCAATCTTTATGTAGATGATACTTCCAACCGTGGTTTCTCAGTTTCTTGACTTCTCTTCCTTAAATGGTCTTATCTTCACCACTCTCAGCCTCCACTCCCTTGGTCCTCCTGAGTCCAATAAATATTTGAGTGCACCAGGATTTCCAATCCAGTTACCGTAACTACTTTTTCACTGTTTGTTATCTCTCTTTTTACTTGCGTTAGATTCCTCATCTATCACTAAAACAACTTTTACATTTACCCACTTTATCTCTTTTTCTATCCTTGATCCCTCTGTAGTACAAATAAGCCTAAAAAAATTCCAATTCTGGTTAAATACAATTCTCAGCACAACTCCAGGCTAATGCTGAGCACTCGAACCTAGCTGGAGAAGATGTAACTTTGCTGGCTGGTTTCACTTTCAATTCCTGACCAAAAGTCTCAAGTGGATCCTTCCTAAGGCATATGAAACCTACTGTGTTTCCCTCGTTAATTCACTCTCACACTCTTCTAGATGACTTTCACCCTTTCCTCTTTCTTCAAACTTCCAACACCTCTCCCCTATCACCCTCAACCAATAACCTTGATTCTTATGTCTTAAGAAACCAAGTATTGGAAGGACTCTACAGAATCCCACCACCAAATCTACCAACTTACCTGGATCCGTAACCAAACGTACCCTCTTCTCTCCTGTTAAAATGGATAAACTGTCCCTGCTCCAGTAGAGTACTGGATCTAATTCACTCTTGCCTATTCAAGGGTATCACTAGAGTAACCCCTTGTTCTCTTACCTTTTTCCCCATTCTATTACATCACTGCCACCAGCATAGAAACATACTGTCAAGGATCTCATTTCCAAAAACAAAGCAAAACACGACAAATCTTTGGCGTCACACTCCCCTCCAGCTACTGCCAGACTTCTCTGTAGCACCTCAGCCCAACCCTTTACAGCTAAATTCTTCAAATGTATTCTCTATACTTGCTGTCCCATTTTTCTCCACCATTCTCTCAAATCCAGTCAGTTTTTCACCCCACCACTGTACTGAACCTACTGTTGCCAAGGTCACCAATCCCTGCCAGATCCAATGGTCATCTCAAAGTTCTACCTTATTCAACTTATTGGCAGCATGTGACACAGGCGATTCACTCTTTGTTGAAACACTTTCTTTACCTGACTGAGGAAAACTTCTCCTATCTGTGATATTTCCTTTGTTGATTCCCCCTCCTTTTTCCAGTCTCTACATCTTGGAGGGTTCCAGGGCTTTTCAACTATGTTCATGCCTTGGGTCATCCCATCCAACCTCATGTTTTAAACACTGTTCTTTATGCTGATAATCACAGAACTTTATCTCTAGCCACAACTGTTCTATGAAACTTGCATGCCCAACTCTGACCTTACAGTTCCACATGGACAATTATCAGCCAACTCAAACTTAATATATGTAAAATAGAGTCCCACTCTCCACTCCTTCTCTGTATCTCCTCAATACCAAGGCACAGCATCTCCATTATCTGATTTGATGCCACCTCTCTGGACTCGTCTCCTACCATCAACTACTCCCTAGCTATTCCACTGTCAACACTACACTAACTACCCTGATATTCACTGAACATTATCAGGGCCTTTGCACTGGCTATTACCTCTGCTTGGAGTTCCCTCCTCCCAGATTCCACATCAATGTCCTCTCAATTCCCCCAGGTCTCTACTCAACTGTCACTTACCAGAGACTTTCTTATCACATATGATATAAATACTTCCCTGCCTTCCTTTCCATTCCATTTATTCTGTTTTATTATTCTTCAGAGCATTCATCACTATTTATATCATTTGTTTATTTACAGTTTATCTTTTCCCAGTAGAATGTTAGCTATATAAGAATGAGATTTTGTTTATATCATTCACTGTTGTATGTCAAGCAATTAGACAGTACCCGGCACAGTATGGAATATTTTAAAATTTAATATAAACACCAAAATTTTATTCAGACTAATAATGGAGATGTTACTAAATAAAAAAAAATCTTTTCCATGCAAATACATGAGGGAGACAACAAAAATATCTTCAAGGAAAATAAAAATTAACTTGAGGGAAATGTATCTCATTTCTAAACCACAACATACATCAGAGTATAATTCTTTTCCCTAAAACTTCAAAGATGGAATTCCTAACAGTATATTTATAATCATTTCCATTCCCCCATGAAATTCAAATTTTAAGAAAAGAGAATAAGGCCATCACTGTTAAAAATAATTTTTAAAGTAGGAAAATCCTTCACCCAGGTGTTTCTAAAATATAAAGAAAATATAAAGAAAACTGTAAGCTCTTCCATATTAATGTTTTTCCAATATAGAAATCTACCCTGGTTTTCATGAGAAACATCTGTCTCTTCAGACACCAAAAAAAATGAAAGCGACACTAAGCTAATTAAAAATACAGTTATACTGTAGTAATTAAAAAAAAGATTTTTAAAGTCAGTCGTATCTTTTACACAGAACCCTACGAACACACTAAATCCTTTGTACAAAAAGTAATAAAATCATTCCTCTTTAACATTAAAGAAGAGTATTATATATGAACAAATTTAATTAAATCTAAACTTTTACTTACATAGAATCTAAATGAAGAATACCTAGACAGCGTGTGGCCAGTATCATGTCACTCAAATACACAAATTCGCAGAAATCAAAATTCACATCCTGACCTTGTTAAAGTATACAGAACCAAATATGATTAACACAACATCAGAATATGTAGCAACACTGCATAATTCCATGTTAATTATCAGATTTTCTGATATTTCTAAGGAAAAAAACCTAAGTTTCCTGCCTAAAAATAATGGAAATCTAAATCAGTAAATACTTTTTGAAACTTACAATTTACATTTTCCTCAAACTTTCCAAAAGCATAATCTTTACATGATTAAATACAATCTTTTTGCATTTACACTTTCTCGTGAGTAAACATGAAATGGTATATTGTCAAAGATACTTAAGGACGTTTTACAAAAATGATTTCCTAAAGAGCAAAAACCAAGCACCAATCTGTAATTTACCCAAAAAATTACTTAGTGAAACAGCTGAGAGAAAAATGCAGGTTTCAAAGTACAGAGTACACAGTAATTTAAAATTATTATCTATTATCATAATATTAACCTTATAACACATTTTTACTTCCAACAGGAAGTCTAACCTTTCATTAACTAAGCAAGATTACTCACCGCCCATGTTTTAGTCAACCTGAAAATTGGGGCACTCTGTAAGCCAGAAACCACTGCCATAAGCGCATGAAGGTTATTCAGCTCATACAGTTTCTGAAGATTTAAGAAAAAGGGGGAAGAGAGATGAAAAATAAACAGCATGAATACAAAAAAACTTCAGATGCACAAGTATAATTTAGGCAATTGGTAGTGATCCAGTACGTATTACCCTCACCACTGAGATTTGCCATTTCAGTACTCACTGTTCACAGTAAGTTGATTTGGGCCCACCATAGAACTTCCGCATTCTAACTTGGCATTATCTCTAAGCTCCGGGAACCAATCTACCTCTAGTTGGGTAACAGATTAAGAAAACCCAAGTTACAGCTCAGTATCAAGTTTGCCTGCTATGATTAGGCACACTAGTTTTTAGCAAGCAGGCTCCTTCCTTATACTGAAACATTATTAAGCCTCTGCCTTAGGATCCAAGTTTCAAGACACGGTCTGTGCCCAGTATCCTGATCTAGTTTCCTACTCAGTACCCGCATTATTTCAGGGCTAGGGTTCAAACCCGCTTCCCAGAGTCCTCCTCAATTTCCTGCTTCCTCCTGTCTGAATCCCCAGATCCTTTGTTCCTCGTTCACGCTGGGACACCTAACTACCTGCTTCCCAATACTACACCTTGCCTTTTACAGTCTCTGTGCAGAGAACTCCTATCTAACACCAGGTTCCATGAGTTTGCCAAGAGATCTACTTGACATTTATTCCTAATTTCCCAGATTTCTTCATACTACCGGATGCTTACATCCCAATGGGTCTATCTAAAAATCAGTCATTTAGAACTGTCCTCACCCACCATCAAGAGACTCCAAGGCAAAAATGCCGGTTTCAAACATCAGAACTAAGGAAAGGGGAGGGTTCTGTTTCTCTGAAGAACCCTAATATGCCACCTTAATTCAGGTCTCAGAATTCCCATAGTTTCAAGAAATATGAACTCAAGTAAAAAGAAAAGAAAAAAACACAAGGAACAAGAATTCGCAAATGGAGAACAGTATATCACATGTTGGCTTCAAATAAAGTGAAGACTGTACATAAAGACATTATCCAGAATGCAACATAAAAGCCAAATAGTTTTTAAAAAATGTGACATAAAGTTTAAGAAACATGAATGGTAGAGAAAAAAAGGCCCCCATTTATCTAACTAGAGTTGCAGAAAGAGAAGATAAAAAGTAATAGTGTAGAAATATATGAGAGATAATGGCAGGTTTTTCCCCCAAATCACTGAAAGACACTAATTCCTAGGGCTAGGAAGCTCAAGGAATCCCAAGTAGAATAAATTAAAAAAAAAAACTCTAAGTCTGGAATAGCATTTTTCAAGAACAAGGGTGACATAAAGATGCTTCCAGACAAAAAACAAATAAAGAAAGCTTTAAAAAAGATTTTTAAAAATGGTGCCAGAATGATTATTCATATGGAAAAATATGAACTAAAACTAAAATCTATAACTCACACATATTATATATGAAATTTAGTCCAGATGGATTAAATACTCAAGTACCAAAAATCAAAGCTATAAATCTTTTAAAGGATAATATAAGAGAACATCTTTGATATTCTCAGAGGTTAGAGTAAGGGGTCTTAAATAAGATAATAAAAATTAATTAAAGATTAATAAGTTTGACTACTAAAGTTAAGAACATCTATATGAAAAGATAACATGAAAAGAGTGTTAAGACAAGCCACAATAGGAAGATGTATGCAAAGCATACGGCAGAGAACTGGCATCTAGAAATTACATACATAAAAAAGACTCCTATAGAAACTGATGAAAGACCAACACCATAACAGAAATTGTTGAAAGATCTCAAACAGATCTTTCAGAAGAGAAAACCTAAATGGTCAACACAGAAAAAAATGTTCATTCTCAACAGATTCAATGAAGATTATTGATCTAATTGTCATTTCTTTGAAAGTAATTTGTCTTTTCTCTATATTTCTAGGGCTTCAAACCTCACGTGAGCACCAAGAGACTTACACAAGAATGCTTTTGTAGCAGCACTGTTTATAACAGCAAAAATCTGGAAACTATCCAAGCTAGAGTACACTGAATATTTGTGGGATATGCAAACAGAGTACTCTATAACAGAGATACACCTGAAACCATTCAGTAACACTGCTCAGTAAAAAAAGCAAGTTATAAAAGTATAAAAGTCATTATGGAGCAATTCAATTTAAACAAAATTCAAAAACACACAACAATATACTATTCAGGGACACATCTATACAGTAAAACTATAAAAGATACGCAAACACAAAATTCAAGGCCGTGGTTCCTTTTGTAATGGGAGGGTAGGAGATCGCATATGAAGAGGGCTATGGGAATTCAAAGTGGGCAGTGAGTACGTGAGTATTCACTTTATCATTCTTTTGTTACCTTAAACATATTTTACATTCTTCTGTGTCTATTTGATTAGTTTTATGCGTCAACTTGGCTAGGCTATATAGCACCCAGTTATTTAATCAAACACTAATCTGGGTGTTGCTGTGAAGATATTTTGCAGATGTGGTTAACATCTACAATCAGCTGATTTTAATTAAAAGAGATTACACTCCATAACGTGGTGGGCTGCTTCTCATCAGTTGAAATGCCTTCAGGTAAAAACGAGGTTTCCTAGAGAAGAAGAAATTCTGCCTCAAGACTGCAGCCTCACCTCCCTGCCCAGGTTTCAGGCTGTCTGCCTGCCCTACAGATTTCAGATTTGCCAGCCCCCCACGCCTACCTCAGTCCTTTAAGGAGACAATTCCGTAAATCTTTTCACCTATTTTATATATTCTCTCTCTAGAGAACCCTGACTGATATTATCTACTAAAAGAAGAGAAAGACTTGACAGTTTTATAACAAAGTGAATACAGAAGGCAGAAAAGTCAGAATGGAGGGATTTAAAAGACAGTATAAGACCAAAAATGAAAATTTGGAATTTGGGATGAAAGCAAGCACTGTCAAAAAAAACCTCAAAGTCTAAGAGTTTGATTAGGAATTAAATGATTATTTGATAAGGAAGGTAATGGCAGGTTTGATGGGCAAAATTTGGTAGTTTTGAGTGGAAAATACAAGTACATAAAAAACCTAACGAAGATAGCAGAAAACAATAACACAAATTCAGAATCTAGGGAGAAAAGCCATGAAATTCTATTAGCTCAAACACAATATTTATCTAACATATCACAGAGAATGTTTTCAAAAATTTTATGACACTTCTGCAAAATACCAAATTTTCAGAAGGCTAGCTCTGCCACCTAGTGCCACAGGAATGTTAGAATACACTTGCTCCAGTGTGCTCAAAGAAAATATGGAAGAGTTATGATTTATAAGAATTATAACCATTTACAATTATAAAAATGGTACCTTCATTTTAGTCCGTCTTCCTTCATTCACAGGTGAGATAAATTACATATTTATTACAAGAATAATGAAGAATGTAGCTACAAGTACACCACTTTTTAGTGAACTTCACATAAATTCGGAGTTGTTACAAAAGTTTTAATAAAATCTTGGTATCCTCTTGTGGAATGTCCTATTTCATCCCCCTCTCTAAATTCTGACTACCCTTGAAATCCATGCTCCATTTCTCTTGCTGCGTTTATTACCTACGTCCCACAATAACCATTCAATTAACATATCTGGTTAACGTCCTCATTTATCCTATTTTTTAAAAAATAAAGTCTTATCATTCTCCACACAGTTGGCAGGGTGATGTATGTCAAAAACAAATAATTACTATGTGTTCTCTGACTTAATCCCTATAAGGCTTTCTCAGTCACCTGCGGAATAGTCCAATATTTTATTTGGACTTCACCAAAATTTGACCTCTGTCTAGTTATCCATTCAAATAAATCAATAATTCAGCTACTCTGAGAAAGGGAGGAAAGATACGTTAAAAAAGGGGAGGAAGACAGGAGAAATAAAGGAAAAGGCAGAGAAATCAGGCATCAAATTTTAAAAATGGACTTAATCAATAGGTCTCATTTTGCAGTGTCACAAATAGTAAACAAAGTGTCACGGGCAAATACTCACTCACAAACATTGCTGAATGGTTGAACCCAAACATAAAAACATAAGTTTTTCTTACCTTAGCAGTTTTAATATAGTGGCTCAAAACTTCTGCTCTAATTTTTAATGTTTGAGCATGAAGAATCTCTCTAACAACCCAAAAGCTTACCTGCAAATAAAAATTAAAAATAGTTGAATGACAACATTATTTACTGACCAGGATCAAAAACAGCAACTACTTGATGAATGACCTATAGCTGTTTAAAAAAACAATACTTTCTCTTACCCTTGACTTAGTACCAGGACACAACCAATCTTCAAATGTTACATACACTTCACATATACACAGACAGATATAGACACGTATACATATGTGTATACATACACATAAAAACATCACTATGATTTCTAATTTGTAAAAGCTAATATAAAGTTTGAAGGAAAAGAGCTAAGACAATGCAATAAAACAAGAGTGATGCAACATGAACAAATGTTTTTTGCTGTATTTTCAAACACTCTGGCAGAATTAGATAAGCTCTAAGATCAGATATTGTAAAATAGGCTACTTAGAGCACGTTTTCCTGTGGCTGTATAATGCCACATCATCATTTATTTACAATGAGCAGAATCCTAAGTATGAAGAATCCCATGGATGATTTTCTTGGTATGAATAAAATGAAATAAAATATCATAAAGAAAAACATATCTGAGTAATTCTAAAATAAATGAAGACTGTATTTTAAAAAAGTATGTAATGCTAATTCAATTAAACCATCTTCATGATTTCTTTTAAAAAACATTAAAAGTCATTCCTAAGAAGGCTGAGTAGATCTATAAGTAAAATGCTCTACTCTGATGAAAACAGTTTGCTTACCATGATATAATGTAACATCTATGTAACATTTTAATTCATGTACTATGAAAATAAAATCAAAGCACTATCAGTTGGCTCAAACTTATACAATCTAAAAACACAATGTAGACAGAAATCTTTGTAAAAAACATAATGCCACTGACTCACATTTCTTCACCTTTTTTTAGAGAGAAGTATTTCAGATTTTACTTGCAACATTCATCTATAAACAAATTGTCAAAATGTCTATATTTTACAAGTGTGTATGTAAATGTAAAATGCTTATATTTTACAAAGCCATCTTCATATTTGTTACTATATTTGGGCTACTAATGGCAGTAACTATCCCTAATTCTAAAAAGGTTTACTTCTAAAAATATATAAAAAATTATACTGCACATACTTTAACAATAATCTTAGCAAATATCAACTAAGAATTCAATCTAAACTGCATGATCATCAACCTAATTAAATTTAACATTGGACAAATTTTAAGACAAATATTATGGTGATTTTAAATATGGCCACCAATTCTTTGTCATTCCTCTCACTGAAAGCTGGGGTGTATGGGTCACTTCTCATTGAATCTGGACAGGCTTGTGGCTGCTTCGATGAAGAAAGGATTAATGAAATTGATGCTGACTCTCAGGACAAGGTCATAAAAAGATATGCAGCCCCTGCCTCGACTATTGGAACATTCTCTCTGGGATCCCTAAGTCACCATGTAAGAAGTCCACCTACCCTGAGACCAGCAAGCTGGAAAGGCTCAGTGCAGGTGCTCCCCAGTCAACAGGGCCCCGCTAAACTCAACCTCACCTGAGAACCCCAGCCCAGAACGACCAACACCATGACACAGTTTAATAAAATTACTAGCCTTAAAAGAAAAAAATTGGGGGCTTTGGAGACAAACAGAGAAAGTGATTTTTAAGTAAAAGAAAACATCATCAGACTTCTTTTCAACAGCAACACTCTGTCAGAAAAAAAATGGAGTAACAAATGAAATATAATCAAGGGAAGAAAATTTTATACAAATGATAGACGAACTTGTCAGCACGTAAGGACTCAGGAATTACTGTTGCTATGAGCCCTTCCAGAGGGCTCTACTTCCAGAGTAATCTACTGCAGAACAAGCCTCAGACAACCAAAATGACCAGAGAAACAATCAACCTAACTATGGTAGTGAGCATTAAATATACACTTATTCATAGAACTAAGACTAAATGAGGGTTAAAAGAAAGAGCTTTTTATTACTGCATATCCTTGTCAACACTTGGTATCATCAACCTTTGCCATCTAATTGGTATAAAATGACTTCAGCTTTCGTTTTCATTCAATAAATATTTATTAAGCTCCTACTGTATCCTGGGCACTGTTGTCAATGTTTGGGACATATTAGTGAAGGAGAAAAATGAAGATCAGTACCTTCACAGATATTTTCATGGTAGCTCTTCCTAATTTTAAGTTTTTAAACTGTTTTTTTAAGCAGAAAAGATCAAAGTACACATCATCTAATACAAAGGAACATTATTTCAGGAAACTTGTTTCAGCTCTGTGTCTGTATTGAGCCGCAATGTAAAATATTTTATCTTAATGTAGGTCACAGTCAAAAAAGTTTGAAAGCCACCGTCCACAAAAACTATTGCACATGGACACCAAAACACTCAGAATATTCATAGCAACATTCTTCACAATAGCAAAAAATTAGGAAACATACTTCATGTCTATCCTCAAAAGAATGATAAATTCATTCTGATATTCATGGAATGAAATGCCAGACAGCAGTGAAAATCAATGAACTAGAGCAACATACATCACCATGGATACATCAGAGAAACACAAGTGAAGAAAGCCAACCCCAGAAAGAGTATATCCAGGCTGATGACATATATTATGAAGATGAAAAACAAGCAAGATTAGGGATGCAAATATTTCCAGCAAATCTCTAAGGGAATTAACGAGCAGTTAAATTTTTAAAAACCAACTAAAAAGGTATAAAGAAAAAAAAACCCCAAATTTTCAGATCATAGTCACCCCTTAATCAAGGGTAGAGGGAAGAACACGTAAAACGCCTCAACAGCTTTGCTAATATTCTATTTCTCAGCTTAGGTGGTGAACTCATGGTTATTAGAACATTTCTTAATACATATTAGATTTATGATATGAACTTGTCATTTTTGTAGGCTAAAAATGGTCTAACATGAGCATTTTCATATAATTCAAACAAATATTTAACACATTCTTTGAAATGCATCAAATATTTCATTTAAAAAAATCCTAGAAAACACAGGATATTTTTAAATATAGTTGCTTTATTCAGTGTTTTAAAATCATAAAGAGGTGTTATGAAACCTTATATTTGCAGCCAAAAATATGTTAAGCTTTTGTTTCTTAACTTTTTATCATGGAAAACTTCAAATGTATACTGAACTTAGAAGATAATAATGAAGACCCAGTACATTAACCAGCTTCTGCAATCAAGTTACAGCCAAGCTTTTTCATCTCCATCCTCACCCTGCACTCAAATGCCCAAGTAATATTGTGAAGCAAATCACAGACACTATATAATTGCATCTATAAATATTTTCAAAAAGTAAGAAATCTTTTTTGAGGAAATTTAGCCTTGAGCTAACATCTGCTGCCAATCCTCTCTTTTTGCCGAGGAAGACTGGCCCTGAGCTAACATCTATGCCCATCTTCCTCTACTTTATATGTGGGACGCCTGCCACAGCATGGTTTGACAAGCAGTGCAGAGGTCTGCACCCAGGATCTGAAACAGCGAACCCCGGACTGCCAAAGCAGAGCAGGTGAACTTATCTACTACGCCACCAGGCTGGCCCTAAGAAGTCTTTTTTAATAAACATAATCCAATATCATTATCATTCCTAAAAACATTAATTTCCAGGGGCCGGCCCGGTGGCGCAGCAGTTAAGTTTGCACGTTCCACTTCTCCGCGGCCCAGGGTTCGCTGGTTCGGATCCCGGGTGCGGACATGGCACCGCCTGGCACGCCATGCTGTGGTAGGTGTCCCACATATAAAGTAGAGGAAGATGGGCACAGATGTTAGCTCAGGGCCAGGCTTCCTCAGCAAAAAGAGGAGGACTGGCAGTAGTTAGCTCAAGGCTAATCTTCCTCAAAAAAAAAAAAATTAATTTCCAATTACAAAAAATTTTCGATTATTAGTCAAATTTTCAATTATCTAAAGGTAACATTTAAAAGAAACTTAGACAACCCTCCTTCAATTAAAAAAAATCAGGAAGCCACTGGCATGACCATAAGTTATCAGAGAAACATCCAATAGAGTGATTATTAAAATCACGATACAGTCAAGTCACAGGAGGTTATATAGATAGTAAAAATGTTTTCAAAGTGATTTTATGATACAGAAATATTTCATGGCATGCTAAGACAATAAGGCTATAAATTATATGTACAACACAATTTCTATTAGATTAAGAAAAAGTAAAGAATGGAAGGATATAAACTGAAATGTTAACAGTCACCTCTGGGTGATCGTCCCCTCCAGCTTTTTAATTTAAGCATTTGTACACTTCTTCAATTTTCCTGGAATACATGTTATTATTTTGATAACCAGTAAAAAGCATAGTTTTTAAAGAGATGAGGGAGAGTTCCATTTCTGATGACATGAAGGAGCTGGTATTTTTGGGAGTGCTTGTCTGATAATAATTATAAATGATAAAAACAATTATTTAGGGACCAGCTTGGTGGTGTAGTTGTCAAGTTCACATGCTCTGCATCGGCAGCCTGGGTTTCACAGGTGTGGATCCCAGGCACAGATCTACACACCACTCACCAAGCCATGCTGTGGTGGTGTCCCACATGCAAAAAATAGAGGAAGATTGGCATAGCTGTTAGCTCAGCGACAATCTTCCTCAGGCAAAGAAAAAAAGAGGAAGACTGGCAACAAATATTAGCTCAAAGCTAGTCTTCCTCACCAAAAAGAAAAAAAAAACCCCACAAACACATACAACTATTTAAAAGCACAACAGATGTCTATACCTATATTTAAAAGTACTACTGATATAAAGTCATATTAAAAATATGACTGTGTAAAAGCACTGTTGATGATTATACAATTGAAAAAATTACCAGACTTGCAAAGAAACAGAAAAGGTTGGCTAAGAGTTAAGAGAAAAGTATTAAAAAGAAACAGACCCTACGATAACCCTTTTGCTGGAATTAGTGAAAACCAAATGCAATGAGGGATCCAAAATGATGTCTTGGAACAACAACAAAAAGGATATTAGTGGGAAACTGGAGAAATTTGAATAGGGTCCTTAGTTTGTTAATGGTATTATATACCAAGGTTAATTTCCTGACTCTAATAACTATACCACACTTATGTAAAATGTTAACATTGGGGGAAGGTAGGGATATATGGAAACTCTCTGAACTCTTTTTATCTTTTCTAAGTCTAAACTGAAAACTCTCTGAACTCTTTGTATCTTTTCTAAGTCTAAACTGAAAACCTAGAGATTGTCAGACTGGAAAATAAAAAGGAAGACCAACTATATGCTATCTACAAGAGATTCATTTTAAACATAAAGAGGCAGATATGTTCCCTCTAAAGGACTCTTTCTAACTTCCTCTGTAATTGGCTACTTCAGATCTCCTATGACCTTACTAGGAGAAAATAATAGAGTAATGGAGTACCTAAGTAATGGAGCTTATATAGGATCAACTGTGATCTGGAATGAGGATAAAAGCTTTTGGTACATTGTGACATATTTGACTCTGACAACTTTTTGGCTCACTTAATAATATGAGTGCTTAAAAACTAAAGTCAAATTTGTGAGTACGGTAACGTGATGTTTCTGTACAGCAAAGAAAAAACTTTTACTGTGATAATAAATTCTGATCACCTCAGAAAAATCTTGAAAAAGACTGCTATATAGCTTAAATATGGAATTCAGTACAAAACATGTTTGCCCTAGGCCCCTATTACTGATTTAATCTAATCTTTAAAAACTTTAACCTACTTCCATTTTTGGGAATACAGTGAACCAAATAACTTGAGATACTATTTGCTATAAACCCTTAGAAATGTTGGGTTAAAGACAACAAACTCTTTTTAAAAAAAATGTATGGCTAACTTGAAAAATAAAAGATTTCCCTAGTGGCCAAAAACAAAGAGGAAATAAAAGCAAAGCGGTCGTTAAAAGAAAGGTCCTGTAGCTGCCCTTGGGGGCTTAGGATTCAGCACTCCTCCAATGATTTACTACAAGGCCTCACCCATCCACCCTCCCACCTCCATTTCTATCTAAGGGACCTTCAAAGGGCTACAATCTTGGTCAAAAGGTAGAGTAAAACAATTCACCTACCAGCAGGGGGAGACAATACAGAAGAAGGAGAAAAATAAGTCTTTCATAAGAATTTGTAATCTGCCCTTACCTGAATTTGAAGTCTAAATTTTCTCTACAGAGAAGTACAGACATTCCCCAACCAAAACATATAAAAAACAGTCCTAGGTCTGTGATAGACCTCGGTACTGGCAAAAGTAAACAAAAAGCTTCTCCGAAGGGATATACCCTCAACCTAGGCAACAGCAAAATTCCCACAGAAAAAGCTTAAATGGACATGAGCTCTCAATCCAAAATTACAAAAAGCAGAAGAAAACAAACCACTGTGCGTAAGGATCAGCAGAAATAAGAGAATTAGTACCCCAAAGACTCTGGACAATAACAATAAAAATAAAATGTGGAAAATAATCTAAGAAATTAAAAAATTTAAAAAACTGACACTAGTGTAAAAGCACACAGATTTGAAACCAATATGACACACCTGAAGAGAATTAGTGAACTGAAATACAGATCTGAAAAAATTACATAGAATGGAGCACACAGGGAATAGATGTAAAAATAAGAAAGGATGAGATACAAGTAGGAAAGGATGCCAAGTTTCAACAAATTTCAATCACAAAATCAAAAATCACAAAAGGAAAAAAACAGAAATCATGCAGAGAGAAAATATTTGAAGCAATATTGACTGAAAATGTTGCAGAACTGATGTAAAAAGTTAAATTATTTCTTAATGAAAAATTATATATTGTGGAATTGAATTTCAGAAACTAAATACCAAAATTTTATAAGCAACTCACATGATTAAATCTTCTTGTGAAGGCAACTGCATTTGGGGAAGAACTATATTTCTCTTTTTTATTCCATCCACAACTTGAAAGCTCCTGAAAAATTAAGTTGTAAGTTAAATATAAATTCATGAAATAGCTCAGTTTTCTTGTTATATTAAGGGTTTCAAAACATTAAAGACAGCTGTGTTCCTGAAAAATTAAGTTGCAAGTTAAATATAAATTCATGAAATAGCTCAGTTTTCTTGTTATATTAAGGGTTTCAAAACATTAAAGACAGCTGTGTTCCTTCCTAGAAGTGTTTTACTTAACAGGAACATATCTAATACTATAACCATTCAGCTAAATCACAAGAGCAAATTTTATTAGTAGAATATAAAAGGGTAAACCAATTGTCTGTGGGAACATAGATGACCAGACTCATACTCCACAGGCAGATCGGCAGGTTCCCTCTGATGGTCTGAATCCGAGGAGGAAAGATCCACAGACAGTGAGAGCTGAGCCTTTTACAACATACAGTGAAGCTGCTCGTGAGGAGTCAAGTCCATTCCCCAGAGCTTCCAACCAGCTTTCCAGTCCCTCAGTGTTTGAAGTGACAGTCAATGACCCCAGATATCCGAAGAAGCCTCTGATAAAGGGGTTCTTGACTCCCCACAGGGTCTGTCAACAGGATTCAAAGAGCTCAAGGACTTAGGCAAAAAAAATTAAACTTTCGTTTTACACTAACTTCTAACTGAAACGACATTCCTTTTAATTATAAATGTAGGCTACAGATTACAGAAAAACTGGCAACACACATGACTTTGTCACTAATAAAAATCAGATATTTTCTTATCATATTACAGTTGGTACAGATATCTCGAAAATATCATTTACACTCATCACTACTTTGAAATTGTGATCTCATCACCTCTAGATCTTACTTAATATGCTAATAAAGAAGCACATATATTGCTATATAACAGTTTAAAAACTATTTTGATAAGTGTGGTTTTTTTTGGTGAGGAAGATTGTCTCTGAGCTAACATCTGTGTCAATCTTCCTCTATTTTGTATGTGGGAGGCTGCCACAGTGTGGCTTGATGAGCAATGTGTAGGTTCACGCTCAGGACCCAAACCTGCAAATCCCAGGCCACCGAAGCAGAGCACGTGAACTTAACCACTACACCACTGGGTTGGCCCCCTTGATAAGTGTATTTTAACAGAACTAATTTCCTTTGATTTTAAAGCAAGGCTCAGTTCTATGAGCTTCAGTCTGCCAAAGAGGTTCCTAATAGGTAAGAACTCTGTGTAATACAACCACTGCCACCAGAGAGAGACACAATCTATAGGAAAAAAGAAAAATAACTCTGATGAAACTGAGTTAGGACAGAGAACAAAAGAACACTGAGAAAAGAAGACGACAAAAACATATAATTGCTACTCTCAGACAGATGAAAATAGATATTGCTCCCATTAGGCAAAAACAAGTGGATATAAAAAACAAATATTCAGAAAACAAAATACAGCTTTTGGAAATGAAAAATGTAATAGCAGAAATTTTAAAAATCAACAGAAGAATTCTGAGATAAAGGTGAGAAAATCTTTTAAGCAATAAGCTAAAAATAGGAGCAAAATATTATGTTAATTAGAAATGTCCATAAGAGGCAACACCTGAATAGTAAGAATTTTAAGAGAGAAGAGAAAAAATGGAGAAAAGTAACTTTATCAAAAGAAAGAATTCAAGAAAATGCCCCCAGAACTAAAACCTTGAAGAGTTCCTATTGCAATGTATCAAAAAAAACAAAAAAGACCTAGACCAAGGCCCATCATCTAAAAATTGCAGTATGTGGGAGACAAAGAGATCAGAAAATCTGTCAGATTCAAAAACAGAACACACAAAAATAGATCACATACAGAAAAACACAAATCAGAAGGTATCACGTGTCTCAATAGCAACATTAGAAGTTAAAAGACAACTCAAACAATGCCTTCAAAATCCTAGAATTCAGGGCCAGCCCTGTGACTGAGTAGTTACAGTTCCATGTGCTCCACTTCAGTGGTCCAGGTTCGCAGGTTCAGATCCCAGGCACGGACCTACTCCACTCCTCAGCCATGCTGTGGAGGCATCCCACATACAAAGTGGAGGAAGACTGACATGTATATTAGCTCAGGACTAATCTTCCTCAAGCTAAAAAAGAGGAAGATTGGCAATGGTTGTTAGCTTAAGGTGAATCTTTCTCACACACAAAAAAAATCCTAAAATTCTATATCCAACAAAAATATCAATTAAATATGAAAGTATACTATAGATATTTTCAGACATGAAAATCTCAGAGCTTTTGCCTTCTACGCTCCTATTCTCAGAAAGCTAAGAGAATATGTGTTCCACCACAACTAGCAAAAGAAAAAGGAGGACACGGGATCCGGGAAACTGAGGAACCAACACCGAAAGGAACTACTGGAAATTCTGAGATTAACGGTAAAGAGAGATCCTGGGACAAAACTGTGTGCAGACCTTAAGAACAACAGTTCGGGGCCGGCCCCATGGCACGCTCCATTTCAGCAACCCAGGGTTTCGCCGGTTCGGTGCGATCCTGGGCGCGGACAAGAGACTGCTTGTCAGGCTGTGTTGAGGTGGCATCCCACATGCTACAACTAGAAGAACCCACAACTAAAATATACAGATACGTACAGGGGGATTTGGGGAGAAAAAGCAAGGAAAAAAAAGAAAAGAATAACAGTTCAGATTGTAAGCTGCAAGAGGACAGAGATTCCAAGAGAGAAGTCTCTGAAAGATGATTAACAGAACAGCTGAAGGATCCGAACACACTGAGAAGACACATTCACTACATTAACTTCTGGCAGAAAAATCAGTGACAAGTACAAAGAAAGCTAGAGTAAGTTATTAGCTCAAAGACAACAAAATTTAAGTAAGTTAAGTTACTTATTCATGTCAAAATTGTGACATAACTATATGGGAAAAAGAGGAGGATGTGAATTGTGTAAATGTAAGGGCAAGAGAACATAAGAGAGTGAAATCACTTTCTATAGCAGAGTTAGTAAATCATACCTAAAATTGAAAAATCATAAATAATTCAGATATATTATTTGAAAAACAGATATAAATTCATCCAAGGAGAAATAGCTAAGAGACTTGGATGGGTGTGGGGCTCACGGCTGGATGGAGGCTAGAACGGTGGGAGCAGCTGGGCTAGGGTATTGCTATATTTTGGTCTCTTATGGAAATATTTGACTTCTTAAATGTGATATATGCAAATCTTCAATACAATTTTGAAATAAAATAAAAGCAAACAAAACGGAATGAATTGAGTCAGGGGAAGATTGAGGAAACAGTTATGATGATATTATAATACTGCAAGAAAAAGGTAATGTTCCTTCAACTAGGGTGGTGTGAGCAGACAGCGAAAGAAGTAGTAATTCAAGATATTTTGGAGGCAGGCAGGACTTATTCAATAACTGGAGTCACACAGTGTAAGCTAAGAATGGGGTATCCAGAAGCATTAAGTTTCCCGACTTTCTGGTTTGAGCAACTGAGATGGGGAATACTGAGGCAAGAGATGACATCGCTTCAACAGTAGATAAGCAGTAAAAGCTCTGAGGATATGAATTACTTTTTTTCTTAAACCTAAAATTAGATTACAACTTTCAAATTCAAAACTACTAAAGGAAAAAAATAAAATGACAGAAGTAACTCTACAGTATAAAACATTGCTTGGTACTCAGCTTAGATATATGCTTGTTTCACATTATTCCTCTGTACAGACAGAAAATATTTAGTGGTAGACATTACACTAACATAAAAGGACATATAACTATATTAAAAACATCAAACTGCTAGGAAACATTTTTCTTCTTTCTAAAAATCACCACATATTTACACAACTATACAAAGAGGCCATATTTTAGGACAAAATTCCTAGGATTAAGCCCATAAATACTGAATTTGTTTTTAGCCAATTAATATAATTTCCAAATTTATATTAATAATATGAGCAAAGGGTCTCCATCAACCGATGTTAAACCACTCAAGGCAGCCGTCTGACATAGAGTGCAAACTCAATTACAGAGCTTTACACATAAAGCAGGTTTCATTGTCCTGTTACAAGTAAGGCTACACTATAAAGAATAAATATCTTTGCACCTTTTCTGACATTTCTGGTCCTTTCCAAAAGCACAGGCCGAGAAGCGAAATCACTAGGTCAAAGAGTACAAACCATTTCGAGGCTTTGATATCTGTCAAACTGCCCTCCTGAAATAGCAGAATCATTTATACTGCCACTACCAAGTGTCAGTTCCACAAGAGTCTTATCAAAATTGGGCACATTTAATTCCCTTTCTATATATTATTACTTTAATTTCCCCAACTCTAAGAGTAATTCTGTTTGTTAAATAGAGAGAAAATGGGGGGTGGGGGGTGAGGAGTGTGAATCACCTATAAATCCACCACCTGAAGCAAACCTACGTAAACATGCATCTTCCCAATCTTCTTCATGTGCATACAGGCGCCTGGTTTCTGTTTGTTTAAAATAGCTAATACACCTGTCCTTTTCCGTGTGATTTAATCTTTTGATTTTGTGCTTTAAAAGTCCTTCCTTCTCCAGCCACATGTAAAAGAATGAAAATTGACCATTCTTTTTCACCATTCACCAAAATAAACTCAAAATGGATCAAAGACCTAAAGATTAGACCTGAAACAATAAGTCTTCTAGAAGAGAATATAGGCAGTACACTCTTTGACATCAGTATCAAAAGGATCTTTTCGGACACCCTATCTCCTCAGATGGGGGAAACAATAGAAAGAATAAACACATGGGACTTCATCAGACTAAAGAGCTTCTTCAAGGCAAGGGAAAACAGGATTGAAACAAAAAAACAACCCACTAGTTGGGAAAAAATATTTACAAGTTATATATCCGACAAAGGGTTAATCTCCATAATATATAAAGAACTCACACAGCTCAACAACAAAAAATCAAACAACCCGATCAAAAAATGGGCAGGGGACATGAACAGACATTTCTCCAAAGAAGATACATGGATGGCCAATAGACACATGAAAAGATGTTCACCATCACTAATCATCAGGGAAATGCA